GTGTGTGTGTGTGTGTGTGTGTGTGTGTGTGTGTGTGTGTGTGTTTGAGGCCAGAAGTCAACCTTGGGCATTGATGCATCTTGTGTTTTGATTTGATTGTTTGCTTCCTGGCTACGCTGGGCTGCTTAGCCAGCAGAGCCCCAGGGATGCCCTGTCTCTTCACTCTCCAGTGCTGGAATCAAGCATGTAACACCCTACTTGGCTTTTTGACACAGTTCCGGAATCAAACTCGGGTCTTCATGGTTCATGGCAAGCACTTTGCCAGTGCTCAGGCCATTAGAGTTTTCAGAAGCTGTTAACTCTGTTGAGCTTGATAACGATTTTGTGCTTATATAAAATTAGGCCTTTGTTAGCATTACACACTAAGGTAGTCATATATAATATATTATACCTGGGACTTTCTTTAAAATACAACAGCCATGGGATTGGAAAGATGGCTCAGTGGTTAAGAGCACTTGTTGCTCTTGTAGAGGACCAGGGTTCGTTTCCCAGCACCCACATGGCAGCTCACAACCATCTGTAACTCCAGTTCCAGGGGACCTCACACCCTCTTCTGGTGCACTTAGATGTTGGCAAAACACTCAGACACATATAATAAAGATAAAATTAAAAAACCCAACCCCCAACCAAAAACCCTCAGTCCCAAAATAAAAGTAGAAGGGGCAGGTAAATAGGAGCAACAGTGTTGATCACTGAAGCAGACAATGGTTATCCAAGGGACCCCCTCAGTCTCCTCCCTTTAGAGAGCTTGAGAATGCTCCAGAATGAAAGAAGAAAGCCAATAGTCAGAGCACAGTTCCCAGGAGATCGTATTCCCTCCCTCTTTGAGTCTGTGTGGAAATCAAATGCCGCATTATCCAGGTGCTCAATAAACTGTGGTTCCTTTCCTCTCTGAAACCTGTCTCGGGGGCCGTGCTCGCCAGGGATCCAAGGCTGTGCTTCTAAAGGGGAACTTGGTTCAGCCCTGACATCGGCTGTCTTGGAATTTCTATCAGAACTGGGGCCAGTTCACCAAACATGGCATGATGGGGCATGATGTGGGCTGCGATGATGTCCGCCCACAGGTTTTGTCCTTTCCACTTGCCACACAAGCTGGGGCTCTTGGGATGGAAGCTGAGCCCAGTAAGCTCTTTAAAGCAAGGAGTGGGCATGACTGTGGAGACCTCAGGGCTTGGCAGAAAGGGAGGCAGAGGCATTTGAACCTCTGTAGGAAAGGAACCTACAGAAATTTAGTTGTGTTCACCACAGCTAGGACTAAGACCTTCCCAGCCTGGCCCTAAAAACGATAGTTTTTGTTTCCTGACACCTTATCAGTCATCCCAGTCATTTGTTGACACCACCCCAAAAATAAAAATAAGATAAAGAAGAGGCCAGGAAAGTCATCCAGGACATGGGAAAAATGATGCCAAGACAGAGGAAATGGAGCTTCATAGGAAACAGAACAAAAATCTGAAGAGGGAGGAGGACAAAGAAATCGAACAGTCTCATCACGGTGTGGGCTGCACCTTGGCCCGGCCATCTCCTAGACCAGCGTTGGACAGATGCTGAGAGGAGCGAGCCCCTAACTTCTACAGTGGTTTGCAGGGTTCTCAGTGGAGCAGCCCATACCTACACGAGGCATGGCTTCTGAGGGAAGGGATCAGGAAGAGCCTGCCTGTCCCCATAAGCTGCGCTAAGGCAGAAAAAGATGTCTTCTGTTTCCCAAACTTGGTCCAGCTGATGGATCAGGATCTCCAGGGACAGGATTTCATGTTTCTAAGACTGTTGGTGGTTCTCACCATCAGGCTGGGTAAGGAAACTTCAAGGACAGAGATGTCTCTCAAGTCTCGACTCTGCATTCTTAAGTTTCTAGGTGATTCTCATGGGCCCTGTAGTTTTGAGATCTATGGAAGCTCAGCATGGCGGCTGTAAAAGCCATATTCAAAGCCTTGTTTAACTACTCACTAATTCTGGGGCCTTAGACCAAATAATGTTTCTCTATGCCTTTGTTTGCCTATCTGTAAAATGGGGATGACAGTACCTACTTATGGCATGATGTGTGGAAGACACTTGGTATGGACCGTAGGACCTTAACATAGCCACTAATGCTATCTGTTATAATCTAAAGGCTGAACCCTCTGTCTCCTCTTCCTCCTGAATCTTGTTGCATTTTCCTGGCACCCATGCTGCAGCCTTCAGCGGGGTCTGCCTTGTGGCAGGGTTATCTGACTCCGGACTTTAGAGGGCGGACTCCGCCTGTCCCCTTAATTAATTGCTAATGCCCCCTTAATTAATTGCTAATTAATTAAGTGTTCATATACCCCTTGGTCTTTGCAGGACTTTGTCCCATGTCACAGCAGCACTGGAAGAGAACTTAGAGATGACCTAATGTGTCCCCTTGTGTCCGCTTTCGGTGTGCTGGGGTTACAGGTGCGTTTCACCACTCCTTACTGGGAATTGAACCGGGGGCTTTATGAATGCTAGGCTCTGCCAGGTGAGCGCCGTCTTAGCCCTCAGATAGGGCACTGTTGAAGTAGGGTGTGAGCTCTAGCACTGCCACCTACCAGTTATGCCAGTTTTGGACTTGAGTTGGCACGATGGCTCAGTGGACACTTGCTACCAAGCCTGCTGACCCACGTTCAAACTAGAAAGGACTCCCACAAGTTGTCCTCTGGCCTCTCTATGGTACACACTTATCCCACAAATCGTAACTAACTAAATGTAGTGAGTAGGCTTTGGGCCAGTGGCTCTAGGGAAAGGTACCTGCCGCCGGGCACGAGCACCTGAGTCTGATTTCTGAGACCCACACAACAGAGGGAGAAAACTGATCTCCAGGCTGTTTTCTGGTCTCCACACGAGAGCTGTGGCATGTGCACTCCGACACAAGAAACACACAAGTAGATGGCTGTGATAAAAAAAAATTGTAAGCGGGTAGAACACTGTGTCCTTTGCCATTTGCTGTGTAAGTGTCTTGTGAGCTCCTACAAACCATCTCCCTAATGATGAGAGCTGTCACTGCCCCATACTGACTGCTGTTTCCTGAGTGTCCACAGACTCCCAGGGGTACAGGGCAAGTTATTTGAGGGTGCTAGAATGCTACACCATGGCTTGGAGCTGCTTTGGGGCAGGGACCCAGCCCTTTCAGATCTCCAGTCCTACTTTAATGCCTCCTAACCTGCTTCTTCAGCCTCTAAGACATCATCTTCTTGTTTATAGTACTTTCCTGCCTGACCAATTAGACCAGCTCCTAGATGGTCTCCCCCAACTTCGTGGCCCTCGTCCTGGTGGATCAAGTGTCCAGTATTATCAGAGGCCACAGTTCTTGTTCTCTCGGTCCTTAGTTCTTAGACAAGGAGCTCTGGAAAGAAGGTCAATGGTGTTCTGCCAATGCATCCTCCATGAATCTTTCCCTGAAAGCTGAACAACCCAGCACCTCCCCTCTCACCCCCACACCCCTGTCATGTCCTTACCATCATGGTTGGCATTTCCTAGCGTCCAGGGCTCATCTGAATCAAAGTGAGTGTCTCCTCCAATCCCTGGGCCAGGAAAGTAGGCATGGGCTAGGAATCCCCCTTCCCCATCAAATGGGGAGCTGTCACCATGGAAACCAGAAGCAAAGAAGATCATGATGTCTGCGTCCTTCCGGTCACTTTTGATCTCATAGTACGGTACCTCTTCAAAGGTCAGCGGGGTTACCTTCTGCCACACATCGAAAGCCTGACGAATAGCTTTCCGTGTGTCCAGCTCACCCACCTTTGGGGTATAGTTGTGAATGCTGGTGAGAGAGAGAGAGAAGGGTCATTAGAAAGAAACACAGAATCAGAGACCGGGGGAGCTAAAAAGGATTTTTAGAGCATTCTGGCCATCTTCACATTTGAGTCCTAGAATCCTGCGGAGATGTCCTGGGGGCTGAAGACATGCTAACTAGGAAGAGCTTTGGGCCCTCCCCTGCCTCAGTTGGGCTAGCTTTGTTTGCATCAGTTTTTATCCCTGACGAGGCTTGTGTTGCGTAAGGGAGTCAGTTCAATGCATAGCAAAAAAACTGATAGAATCTGCTAAGTTCAACTCTTTCTCTCCCAGTACCTAAAAGTCTGTAAAAGTCACAAACACACTCAAATAGTGCGGAGGTATCTAAATGGAGAGAGGGGTATTGCTGGTCTGTGAGCCGCCAGTGTGGGGCAGCACATGACCTAATGAAACGCCTGACTCTTTAACGCCCTCTCTCTTTAAGGTAACTGTATCTGTGGTGCGCGGTTCTCCACAATGGAACATCACTGCTTATGAACACTCTGCCCACGGATGCCCGGGGCATGGGTCATCTTACCCATTCCATGGGAAGGAAGCAGAGGTCTAGAGAGGTTAGGCAATGGAAGGTAAGGTTAGAACCGGGTTGGAAAGTTCTTTCCCCTTCTCTTGATCTGTTTTTCGTCTTTGGGAGACCCAAGGGTCTTCTAACCTAGATTTCTCTTATGTTTCCTTCTCTTTTTAAGAAAAAGAAATCCTGTTCTGACCTCTACTTTTTGTCAGTAAGAAAATTCTCATTTTAACCCAATAATCTCTGTCTTGGGTCCTTTTACGTACCCAGGGACTCCATCTGAGATAGAATCAGAATTGTGAACTTACTGGAGCCTCTCCTAGCTTGGTCCTTGCCCAAGCCCTTTGTAAACAGTGTTGTTTGTCCCTGCTCTGCTATCGCAGTCAGTGTGGAGACTTGGGGATAGAATCTGCTCTGCCCTGTCTTTCCCAGGCAAGGAACGATACTGTTTGTGACCCATGTCTTCATCCCTTACTTTCCTTAAGAAACAGCCGAGACTCTGCATGGAGCATCCTGGCTGAAGTCTGTCAGGTTGATGTTGAGAATCCAGCAGAGGCCGGGTGGTTTTAGAGCACCGACAGAGTGATCTCTGCCACGGCCTTTATACAGCAGAGCCTAACTAAACAATTCCTACCCGTGTCCAGTAACTAAAAGCTGCAGGCATCTAGACAGAAGAGGCCCAAAGGACCAGGTGAGCCAGGAAACCTGAAGCCGTGGTCACCCGTGGAGGCCACAGGTTCTCAGCACCTGGTCCTGATGTCCTCATGCCTGGCCTTTGTCCTGATTCTGCCCTTTCCCAAGACATACCCACCATGTGAACCTCAGAACTTGGACAGGAAAAACAGTGAGCGTGGGGTCAGAAACAGGGAGTGAAAGAGGGGCTGACAGCACCTGTAGGTGATATGTTTCTGCCTCCACTTCTGTCCGGTGAGGGCATAGCGCTTGTTTCTCCGCCTCCTGCTCAAGTGGGGGTGATCAGGGACGCCACATCGAGGCTTCTTCATCCACCTGGGCAGAGAGAAGGCATGCAAGCACGCACACGAACACAGACACACACCGTGGTCACTAAGCACTCTGGGAAGGCACTGCCCAGTTCCCAACCCCAGAATGAATGGCAGTGCATAGTCTCAGCTTACACTTCGAGATCCCGGCCCCGCATGCCTCAGAAAGAATTTGATAGCCTGACTGACTGGTTCACAAATTCATTCACTCCCAAGGAGAAACACTTGAGTTTAAGAAACACTTAAGAGACTGGAGTCAGCAGACACTGGTAAATTCTAGTTCCAAGTGAGGGCCCCAGGCAGGGCATCAAATCCACAAGAACCTCGGTTTCCTCATCGGTGTCATAACTGCAATAAAACACTAACACCCAGCTCAGTCTACAGTTACCATGTTGTCCAGCCCCTGTCTGTGCGTCCATCACCTTCCCACTCTTCCTTCTTCAGTAAGACAGCCAGCCACCGTGGTGCCTTGCTGTTCTCTGCGTATGGTAACCAACCCTTCCTGCTCTGGAGTCTTTGCCTTTGTTCCTTTACTCCATTAAGGCCCCTGCTCTTTGGAGAGAGCCTCCCTGACGGACTGATCTATGGCAACCTGATCCCAACACTGAGGATCTTGCCTAATGTTTCCTCACAGCGATTATCTCTCCTCGAATGTATGCGCCTGCTTTCTTGTTTACTCTTCATTTTTTCTCACCAGATTCTGAGCTGCCTGAGGACAGGAGAGTTGCCTGTATCCTCATGCCTATATTCTATGTGCTGGCACAGTGCCATACATAGAAAGGGGTCAATCAGTATTTCTCAACTGACAACACACTGGAGAAATGAATGAATCACGGCTCTTCAACACTACAACAGAAGAGCATGAAAGACAGTGGCCCTTTCATTACAATTGTTAAGAAGTGGCTAAATATCCAGGTACAGACCTGTAAAACCAGGACTTGGGAGGCCTAGGCAGGATGATCAAAAGTCCCAGGCCAGCCTCGTCCACACAGTGAAACCCTGACTCAAAAGAGGACTCTAAACAGATATAGGACACAGAATATACTTTTCTGTAGCACTTATTAATTACATTGTGTTTTTTTTTGGGGGGGGGGTTGTTTTTTTTGTTTTTGTTTTTCAAGACCGTTTCCCTGTGTAGCCTTGGCTGTCCTGCACTCACTTTGTAGACCAGGCTGGCCTTGAACTCACAGAGACCCACCTGCCTCTGCCTCCCTGAGTGCTGGGATTACAATCGTGTGCCACTGCACCCGGCATCACCGATTAATTCATATTGTGCTTTTCATTGTTAATGTGTTGCTTCTAATAATGGCAGATTCTTTGAGGACAAGGAAAAAAGGCTAGTCTAATGCATGGAGCTCAGTAAATCTTGATAAACTTATTTATTTTCAAGTCAAGGCACATCAGGGAACAAGCCTGGGACATCACTGGGGATTTAAGAAGGGCCCAGATAAGAGACTTAAAGAGCCACAACTGACTAGGGCCAGGCCGTCCTGCATTTTCTGTTTCTGCCACTGGCCTAACAACCAACCCAGCAAACTCTCGCTTGGCATTCCTGGAAGGGAAAATGTCTGACCTCATTCACAGCTGTTAAAAGCAGTTGCCATTGGCAATGGGGGAAGAAGACAGGCCATTTTAACCGCATAGGAAAAGCCCCTAGAGGGAGCAAGCCAGGTCTTACTCACTTGGCATGATCCACTCCCTCAGAGCAGTGACGTAGTGCCATGACAGCAACAGCACACACGTCCGTGTAAACACCTGCCGTTCCCATGCATTCATGTTCTCTTAGAATTCTTTGATTGGAGATGGGCTCATGCTAGGTAGCTCAGGCTGGCTTCAAACTCAAGGGCTCCTCTGCCCCTGTCTCCTATGTGCTAGCTTTACAAGCAGGCAGGACCACACCTGGATTGCTTTTAGAATTTTTATTTTAAAATTTTAGATTATTTGTTTGTTATTATTGTGTGTTCATGATGTGTTTCGGAGCGCTGTGTGCAATGGCACACATACGGAGGCCAGAGGATGAAGAATGGAGTCTGTTCTTTCCTGCCTTGACATGGGTTTTGGGGATTGAGTCATTTGGAAGACAGAAGTCAGTGAGGCAGGAGCCCAGCTTCTGACTTTCTGACTGGTGAACTATCAGTGCAGTTTGGTAAAGAAAAACCGAGGCTTTTGGTTTTTTGTTTTATTTTTGTTTTGTTTTGTTTTGTTTTGTTTCCCTCTCAGTGCTTAGCTCAAAACTGAGCTAGAGGGTCTGTGTTGCTGGATGAATGAGTGAAGGAATAAACGTGTGACATTTCCCAAGGTAAACACTCAAAAATAGTACTTGCAATTGTGAAGCAAGCCTCCTTTCAGTAACACATGCTAGAAAGAGGGGCAGGAGCCATCTCTGCTACTGCAAGGCTGAGCGGGACCTCAGCGCCTTATGGCAGGCGATGGGCCCCAGTGACAGGCAGCGGTTGCCCAAGGTCACAGAGCTGAGGTGGAACCCTCAGAACCCTCCCCATCCCACTCCGATCCTGGACTATGTGTGAACAGCCTTTTCCTTTCTGCGTGTCCAGAACAGTGCTCCCAAGTTCCTAAGAGAGGAGTGGGCAGAACTGCGGCAGGCAATGCTCCCTCTTTCCTCGGCGCCTTCCCTTTGTCTCTTTTCCCATCCACCTGCCTGGTTTGAACCCCGTCCAGCAGGCCTGAGGCTTTCTGGAACAGAGAAAATCCGAGGCCAGGTGGAGCCTCAGCAGAGTCACCAGTGCCCTCGGCCCAGGATGCACTGCCGCGAAGCCTGCACAAAAGCCTCAAAATAGCATCAGCCTGGGGAGGAGGCTCCATCGACAAGCCGCGCGCCCACGAGGCCAAGGACCAAGGATTCCGCTCCCAGCCTCCGAGGACGCACGGTCTCAGAATTTCGCAGTACCGCTCAGAAAAGGAAGAACTGGGAAACGTCTGGCTACAACTACGGATCACCAGGTTTTTAGAGTTTTCCAGCTTGGAATAATGGACCGGAGGATTTGATAGCCAAGCCCAACATTCTCCTTTGCAAATAAACAGGCCCGAGTCTGCCACAGACGATCCAGAGCGACTTGTCTGAGAGATGAAATGATTCTCCAGCCACAGTTGTGAGCCTTCCCCATTCTGCCTTCTGCCAGCTCTCCCGTGTCCTCAACCAGCCCTGCCATCTGCTTCCGCCCTCACGTGGGCTCCCATCTCCCCCTTGGGAAACTCACTTCTGCTCTTTCTATGCCTTCCCTGGCCGGAGTGCGTCTTCTGAAACAGTTTGAATGCCTTTCATGGATATTTTCTTTTTAGTTTTTAATTTTTTTTAACTTATCTATATTTACTATTATATAATATCATAGTATTTATATTATATTGTTGTGTATGTGTGCACACATAAGGTCAGAGAACAACTTTCAGGGGCTTGTTCTTTCTTTTCTCTGTGGGACATAGGGGTTGGACTGAGGTCATTAGGTTGTGTGGCAAGCAGTTTTTAGGCCCGTTTTATCAGCCCATGGATATTTCTTAAAAAAAAGAAAAAGGAAAAAGAAAGGCCAGGTATAGAGGTGCCATATACCCTTAATTCCAGTACTTGGAAGGTGGAGGCAGGAGGATCTCTGTGATTTCGAGGACAGTTTGGCCTACAGCATGAGTTCCAGGACAGCCTGGATTGGACTATGTAGAGAGATCCTGTCTGAAACAAAGCAAAGTCAAACCAAACCTAACAAAAATGTCATTATTCTACTCTCATTTTCTAAAATTTCTCTGTTTGTATTTTAAATGTTTTATTTATTTATCTATTATTTATTTATTTATTTTGGTTTTTCGAAATAGGGCTTCTCTGTGTAGCCTTGGCTGTCCCGAATTTGCTTTGTGGACCAGGCTGGCCTCAAACTCAAACTCACAGCTATCTGCCTGCCTCAGCCTCCCAGAGTGCTGGGCTCAAAGGTGTGTGGCCTCACACCAGGCTTGTCTTGTTTTTCTGTGGGTATGTGTGCGCCGGAGCGCATGCTTGTGCGGCAGGGGCAGGGGACCTCAGAAGTCAGAAGAACGTATTGGACCATGGAACTAGGGTCACTGGAGCTTGAGAGCTGCCATGCGGGCACTGGGAATTGAGCCTGGGTCTTACGCAAGAGCACTAAGTGCTCTTAAATACCGAACCATCTCTCTAGCACCCTGCTTCTCTCTCTCCCTTTGTGTGTGTGTCTGTATGTGCACATGGGAGAACACACATGTAAACATGGAGGGCGAGAACCAGCTCCACACGGATTCTGGGGATCTAACGAGTGGTTGGGTTGGTGCAGCAGGCCCCTTACCCAATGAGCCATACCGCTGGCCCAACTTCCTCCCATGATAAACAAATAAAAACGTTGTCTTTTTTTTTTTTTTTTGGCTACTACCCATTTCTTCCTCTTCCCTTTATTCTTTATTCTCGGGCTTCTCAAAAGCTTACTGACACTTGACACTTGTCATGTCCGGGCTCATGTCTCTCCCTTCATCTCCCCAGACTTTGTTTCCCCCTTTCTCCTGGGCCCAGCCATGCCTTTCAGCCACCTCTCAGCAGCTGACCCTGCTGGCCACGCCCCTTCCGCTGCCGTGATGTCTCTGGCCACTTCTGCTAGGCTGGCTGTGACCCTCTTCTCTCTGTCCTCTTGGCGCTGCCCCTGAATGATGAGAACCATGCTCGTGGCTGGATTCATGTTACTGCTCTTCAGCATCTCCCGGGGGTACGCGTGTTTCTGAGCCCTAGGACAGCGCAGCCAGATGACTGTATTTTTCACAAAACAGAGCTGAGTAGGAGGCTGGGGCTACGCACAGTGCCTGGCACATGCAGGCACCCAGCAGGAGTTTGGTAAATGGGCAGAGTGGGCCAAGAACTGCCATCCTGTGATTGCTGAACAGTTGTCTGTATCACAGTTCTCTGCACACACATCTGAGGCTGCCCCAGAGGGCGGCTTACAGAGCTCTTACTTGTTGGAACCACATGAGACTAGAGGGACCTTCTATGACACATTCCCTCATTGTACAGATAAAGAAACTGAGGCCCAGAAGGGTTACATGTCTTGTCTCCGGTCACACAGCATAAAGTTAAAATGTGTGTGTGTGTGTGTGTGTGTGTGTGTGTGATGAACCAGACCCAGAACCATGAGAGGGCACTGTCCGGTATCATCTCCCAGGAGGGCAGAGCAGGAGCTTAGGGAGGAAGGATGGGTATGGTATGGCTGTGACAAATGAGAACAGAGTCCAGAGCGCTCGAAGGCACAGTGCCCTAAGCAAACCTTACTCGATTGTTGTCTGATCCAACACACCGGTGACTGGGATCCCGTAGAACTGCTGCATGGTAGAGACTGCTGACTGGAAGGCCTTCCCTGAATGCAGCGCAGAGGCCCGTGACTCATGGGGAAGCAGGTAGCCATATGATTTCAACCAGTTCTGAAAGATGTGTGAAAGAAAACGAGGCGTCACGCTGGAGAAGCTCCATTCTATGTGGCAGAGATTTGCCCTTAAAACTAGGGATCATTTTACCCAGAGGATTTGTGGACCCACACGCTCCGACTTCTTCCTCTCCACCCCCACCCTGCGGGCATGGTCAAGTTAATCTCCAGAGAGCCTCACTCTGATTGGCCCACTCCCTGGCTGTCAACTTCATATTGAGAGCTTTCCCCTGCCCTTTTAATTCGTGGATCCGGTGCACCCCCCTGACGCAAGCCGGCCATGTGAGAGCACAGGGGCAGTTAATTCACTGAAGCAGAAGAGCCCGTGGAAACCTTCTCTGCTAAAACGCATTATGCCTACAGTCAATCTGAGGTAGCACCACACTGCCCCGCATCTGCCAGCAGGAGAATCTATATATTCCTCATTGTCAACCATCCCCCCCGCAAAGCAACCCCTTATAAACACAAATAAGCGGAGCAGCATGGTCCTCATATATAGATAAATAGCAAACACATAGAAAAGTCTATTATGTAAGAGAATTTCTTGCTTTTCAGAAATACACATTGAAGGCTTACATAAGAATGTGTGCTGTCTGCAACTGGTACTTAATGGGCTCTGAAATGCACGCATAAATGTATTTTGAGAGAAAGAGATAGCTAGATGAAGTAAATGAAGTAACAAGCTAACAGCTGGAGATTCAGGTGAAGGGCTGTCAGTGCTTTATCCCAGTCCTATCAACTTTTGGAAGTTGGGTTGATGTCAGCAGCATGTGGGGGTGGGGCGGGGGGGTAGGGGTGTCTATAAAAAGGGCAAGAGACTAAAAGAAGTTTAGGTGAAGAAGAAGCTCAGAGGAGCAGTGAGACCAAAGCACATCAAAGTAAAAGAGCTGAGGAGTCCCACATCATCTACTGGAAAACGAGCAAAACATCCAGTTCTTAATGAATCAGGAACATCCCCAAATGCCAGGCTTGCAGCCAGAAAAGCCTATTCTCTGCCCACCTTCAGAGGCTCACCCTGGAGGCTGATGAGTGATTGCAGGGGAAGACACCCTTCCCGTGTACGCCAGGCTGGCTTTGGGCTTGCTGTGTAGTCAAGCATGACTTTGAACTTTCTGACCCTCCTGTCTCCAAGGTGTGCTAGCGTATAGGCATGCGCTGCCGTGCCCAGCTTTTCTGGTGTTCTCGGGATCAAACCCAAAGCTTCATGCACGCTGGGCAAGTGCTTGACCAGCAGAGCCACATCCTTAGCCCCAAAGCTTTTGGGTTTTGTTTCTATACAAACAGATCTATTGTGAACATGCCCCTTATTGTAAGCCAAATCGAACCACTTTTAGAAGGCAGCTGCCAGAGACTATAAATAAGTTACTCTTTATTTTTCACCAAAGGTGACTATAACATCTTCACCGCCTTGTGATAAAACTGATTAAAAGCCAAATTGCCAGAATAATAGTCTTGGAACACCTGCAAAAGAGCGACAGCCTTACTCATCTCGTCTCCGGTGTCTAAAACATGTTTTCCCTTCAGAGTGACGCTGCGGAGTGTCGGTGCTCACAGTCCCCCAACACTGATTCTCTTTATGTCTCTGCACATACGTTTCTCTCTGCCGAGCATTCTTAGTTTGGCAAAAACCTTTCATATTTTAATGTTCAATCCATAAATTACTACCCCTGGAAGACTTCCCAGGCTAAGTGATTTTCCTCTCTCCTCACTGCTCTCTAAGCCCCCTATTTAGAGATTATGGATCTTATAATATTGGGCTCCAGTCATTACCTTTCACTCTCCCCCAGATTCTAAGCTCCTCGTGGGAAGGCTCCCTCCATTTCTACATACCCAGTGTCTAGGACAGAGTTGGACATATTTTAGTTGTTCATCTGTCATTCAATGAACATTAGCAAACGCTTACTACATTCTAGGCACTGTGCAAGGTTTGGGGGGGGTACAATGGTGAATAAGGAACCCACAAACTGACAAGGAAACCTGTGATGGTATGGAGACCATTCTATGTAGCAAAGGGGGTGTCTGTGCACAGGAGGTGGAGGGATGAAGGGAAAGGTGGGGTGGTGGAAATGAGATCTGAACTGTCCAGCAGCTATGGGCAGCATATTCTAAGAAATATGTAAAAATGACTAGAACTTTGGGTGAGGGCAGGTGATGAGGTTGGAGGGAGGGACATGGAGAGAGGAGGCATATAATGATCTGTTTCAAGCTGGTCATCCTGCAAAAGAGTCTCTTGGGACTTGACCTTTGGCCAAAGCCCAGCCACAGACCTCAAATACTGACAGAGTTGTCTAGGAAGCAGGTGAGTCACACACCTGTATTCTCTAGCATTTATTTCCAGGTTAAGTCCTGCAGCAAAGCATTAAGTCCCTGGACTGTGTTCTCTCTGCTGAGGAGCTCGGATCAGGGACTAGTAAACTCCTGCACCCTCTGCTTACCCAACTGCCACTCACTTGCTCCTCAGACTTCACTAGGAAGAAGCCCCTGATCACAACTAAGACACAGCAACTCCCGAACATTGCCCTTCCTGATAGCTACAAACCCCATTCTCTTGATACATGGTAGCAAACTTCTGCTCATCTTTCAAGGGCTACCTCAGACGTCCCCACTTTCATTAAGCTTTCCTTAGAGTCCCCTGGTAGGGCTACGGGGTCCTCTTTATTCCTGACGCACTCTGTGCACATCGCTAAATGTCACCACAGTGCATCACACCCAGCCACAGACTGTACCTGCCTTCGCCAACTAGGCTGAGTTCCTGGGGAATAGAGGCTGTCATATTTTTTTTAAACCTGCTACAGTATTTAGCACAGCGTCTGATTCAATAGTCACCAAGTTCATGAATGAGTAAATGAATGAACAGTTGTCTTGAGAAGGCTTAGTAAGTGATGTACATGAAGACACTCAGCATAAATCCTGGTATCTAGTAAGGGGAGAAAAAATATTTTCTGAAATTTATCAGTTGTGCTTCAGCTTTCCCTGATTGATGAGGCAATGGGGTCCGCTATCTAAACAAACAAAACAAAACAAAAAGATAAATCCCACCAAAAGAAGCAAGCCTCCTTCCATCTTAAATGACTTACCTTCCATCTTTTTACACCTTTGACCCATTAATCAATCACCAGCCACGTCAGAAGTCTAACCTTGACAGCAGTTAACTAACTCTAAGATGTCTGACACCTTCCAAGTGCCAAAAGAGGTGTGAAACCCAGAGGAAAGTGAGAAAAGTTACAGGTACAGCAGACTGAAATAGCTGGGCTGAACCAAAGACGTGCAGATGATAGACAGAGCAGTCTGACTGGTCTGCTGGCCACAGGGCGGGATTTCAGTCCCCAGGGAGCCAGAGCTGAGCAATGAATGGCAAGGAGAGAAGAGCAGAGGATAAGGAGAGAGAGAGAGAGAGAGAGAGAGAGAGAGAGAGAGAGAGAGAGAAAAGTGGCCCTACAATGAGAGAGGAGAGTGGCAGACAACAGAGGCGGTGGTGAGGTCAGAAGTAGCAATGGGGGAGGGGTGGTGGAAAGAGAAGCTACCTGGAGAGGCCAAGGAGCACATGTGGGAAACCAAGATGGCCTGGGGAGGGGAGAGAGGCTGGTCCAGTTACACCAGATGGTCCCTGGGGCATCAGAGAGCATCACATCTATTCAGCTGAAGACAAGAGTTGGAGGATGGTGAAGCACCTTGTCAGGAGTGAAGTGCCTGCTGGCCTCATCAGAAAGACTAGTGCTGAAGTCTATCAAGGAGGAGCAGACAATACGGTGTCTGATTTGGAAATCTATGTTGGAATGAGGAAGGGAGAACCTAAGCCTTTGATCAAAGAGTCTGGGGTCTGGAGTGACAGAGCACTCAGTCAGTAAAGGGCAAACAGGGGGCTGGAGTTGGATTCCTAGAACCCCAGTGCAAATGGTGGGTGTGGGATGATGCTCCTAGTCCAGCACTGGGAGGCAGACACAGGCAGGGCTCCAGGGCTTTTTGACCAATCAGCCTAGTCTAATGGGCATGCTCCAGGCTAGAGAGAAAGCCTATCTCAAAACACAAGGTTGTGGAAGCAGGAGAAGACAGGGAACAGGACAGGAGCCTACCACAGAGGTACACAGACTTTACTGTGATTCCCCACTGCGAATGAGAGAGCCGAGGTTTACACAGATTAATGATTATGCAGAGTCACGGAGCGAGTGAGCGGCAGGATTTAGGCTTTCCTCGAGGTCAGGCAGCCTCTCCCTGTCCTGGGACTTTGCATCTCACTCCTGCAGTGCTCAGTGCTTAGTGTTGTGTTGGGGCCTCTGTACCGTTTGGTTTTTGGTTGACTTGACACAAGCCAGAGTCATCCGAGAAGAGAGAACTTCAGTTGAGGAATTGCCTGCATCAGGCTAGGGTAAGAAAGTCTGCGGGGTGTTTTCTTGACTACTGTCTGATGTGGGAGGGCCATCACGCTGAAGATGATGTGTGCTGGTAGGCCGTGAGTGGGATGAGAAAGCAGGCTGAGCAAGCTGCAGGCCTCACCTTCCTGATGGATAGTGATCAGAGTGTGGAACAAACCCTTTCCTCCTCAGGTTGCTTTTACTAAAAAAGGGCTGGTACTGCCTCCCAAACCGCTTGCTTCTGCCCATTCATTCAACCAGTATTTGGTGCTTTTTTTTTTTTTTTAATCTTTTAGAATTTAAATACTTACTTTAGGCGTGTGTCTGTGTGTGCCCGAGTGTGTACGTATGTGTGTCATATATGTGCAGGAGCTCACGGAGGGGTGTTGCTTCCCATGGAACTGGGGTACAGGTGAGCCACCACTGGGATGCTGGGAACTGAACCTGGGTTCTCTGCACAATCGGCAAGTGCTCTTACCTGCTGAGCCCTCCGAGCAGCCCCACGGCTATTTATTGAGCTACTTACTATGGACCAGGCTCTGGAGATCTGTGACAGAGCAAAACGCCCCAACAACTTTCCAGGTGTCATCTAGTGGGAGAACCAATAGTAAGAGAGGTGAAAAGTAACACAGGCCAAAGAGCTAGG